ATGCTGGGCATGGCTGTTTCGACGGTTTTGTCTGCATGCGTCCGCATCCCGGCAAACGTATGAACTCGCTGTACTCCCTCCTATTTATTCATATCCTTGTGACTTCATTTTCCTCGTCTATTGTCTGACATTTTATTCTCTCTGTATCTTCTCCCATTAGTGCCGCACTCCGTTTCCCCACGATAACGGTGCAACATTTACTTCTATTTCGATTGATATAATTATACAGCACATTCTTCCATCCTCCACACCAACGTTTGTGAACTCGTCCGCTCTGTGTTCCGTTTAAACGGCATTTTCGTTCTGCTCCCCTACCATCTCCAGTATGTACGTCTTCCAAGTATTTTATCTATCTACCTGTACTGACGTTGTACATATGATTATTTTGGACACATGATCATGCCTTGTGCATGCCTCACGGGTTTCGTGAAATATACATTACTATTGTTAACTGGGAAGAGTGATCACCTCCTCATCGGGGTCGATATCCGGTAGATTACGAATTTACAGGGCTTTTGATAGAATGAACATCAGTAGGCTTCGGGAATACACTGCATGAATGCAGTGGATTCCCGAGCGAAACACTACAGATGTCGAGGAATGCTGGTTGGTAATCAGGCTCAACCTCCTCACCCTCCAGGATCTCTTTGCCCCACTAAGATATAGGCGGCACAAAGAAAAACCTCCATGGTGGCGTGCTGCAGTAGCCAATGCCATTAGGTACCGGAACCGAAGCTGGAGGGCCTATCAACTAGCCGGCACCCATAGGTCGTGGGTGAATTACACAGCCCACAGGAATGCATTGGTTAACCTAGTGTGAGAGAGAAAAAAAGAGGTTATTCGAAATGAAACTGGCCTGGAAAGTGAAACTATAACCAAAGAAGTATTGCAGGTAAGTTCAGTCACCAGAGAAGAGATGGGCCCACTGGTACTTGAGGGGGATAGGGTTATAACTGAAAACCACAGTAAAGTTCATGCATTCTGCGCTTACTTTAGCAGCGTGCAAAGGCTAGACACTGGTGAGTCAAGTGCTCCGCAGGCCTCGGCAACAGATGTAATGGAGGAACTAAGGGTAACACTCGAACAAGCATCTGAGGTACTAGGCGGCCTTAAAGTATCAAAGGCTCCGGGACCAGACGGAATTAGCCCAGTGATCATCAAACTGATAGCTGATATAAACGCTGGGACAATTTTCATCCTTTTTGGAGCATCACTAGCTGAACTTACCGTCCGACTAGAGAACAGCTTCGGTAGTAGCCATACACAAGTGCGGTAAAAGACAGATGTAAAGAACTATCGACCTGTTACCTTAACTAGCGTGCTATGTAAGTTACTAGAAAAGATAGTTAGAACGCACCTAGTAAAGCATCTGAAGCGTAACATACTCATGACAGAGGCACAGCATGGTTTCGTTAATCACCGTTCATGTCTAACAAACCTGTTGTGCATTTTGGAGGATGTTACTGCAAAAATAGATGAGGGTAAAACCGTAGAGGTTTGTTACCTAGATTTCAGCAAGGCTTTTGATTCAGTAAATCATCGCCTGCTGTTGACCAAATTGTAACGATTCGGAATCCAAGGGTAGTTGCACAGGTGTATAAGTGCCTTTTTCTCACAACGATCATTCTATGTGACGGTTGGTGAGAAAATGTCAACACCGGTTCAGCTGACTAGCGGAGTTCCACAAGGCTCAGTATTAGGACCGTTTCTATTCCTTCTCTACACAAACGACTTG